GACTTTCTCATTGGTTTCATTGAAAGACTCTTTTAGGATAATTATGATACTTGTTGCTCATATTGATCTTGAGTTACGTAAGTTGGATTTTAAAATTGTGTCTCTCAATGGTAACATTGATGAAATATTTTATACGGCGCAATTAGAAAATTGTATCTAATGATAAAAAATTAATGATATGCAAATTAAGAAAATTCATTTATGAGTTTAAATATGAATCTCGTTAATTGTATAAAAATTATTTCACCAAGTAATTATCTAGTTTCCTTTTGAGATAAATTTGATTGACAATTGTATATATTATAAGTTCAGTGGAAGTCAATCAAACAATGGCCCTTATTGTTAAATGAAACAAGTTTAGTCTTGATTAGTGCCCTAAGGATGATTTTGAAACTAAGGAAATGCAAAACGTTCCTTATGCTTCAAAATAAATAAAGAATTTTATGTATACTCAAGTTTATAGGTATTTAGACATAGCGTATATTTTAGGATATTAAGCATATTTAAGCAATTTGGGTATGGATCATTGGATAACAGCCAAATTAATTCATACGATATATTTAAGAACAAAATTATGTGATATGCTCACATATCGGAGATATACTAAGTAAGAGATCATTAGGTTAATAGACTCTGACTTATTGGAATATGGATGCAAAAATTTTCACATGAACTGCTAATTATGGATTGATAAGAAAGATCACTTGAGTTACTTTGTGACAACTGAGTTGCAATCCTTTATTTCATATATAACAGGAACACCTTAAGTATAAGCACATAGACATTATGTTTCTGGTTGTTAAAGAAAATTTAGAGTGATTATGTTTTTATAGAGCATATTGGTACAAATTAATGATTGTGTGCTTTCTAAGGAAATGTCATCCAAGGTCTTTCATGAGCACACTCATGTGGGTGTAATATCATTTAAGAATATTCAGTTTTAGTGGGAGTTTGTAATTTTAATGCTCATTTGTTATAGACACAATTTCAGTTACTTTAGTTTAAGGATATTTATATTAAAGATATTTTTTGTAGAAATAAAGTTTATTTTGATTTATCCACTCTAGTTTTGATAAAATTTGATCTCACTAATGTTTTAAGAGGACTAGTTGGAAATAGACATGTGCGGTTCTCATTGCATGTAATTTTCATGCTACGCTTCATGATTGATCTATGTCATTTGATTGTGTCTGTATACGTGACCATTAATGGGTCTAGTCATTATAGATATGGCAAAGGCCTCTTTGATCCTATAAGGATATAGTTGATGGAAGAGATTGTTATATAATACCTATTACATGATAACAAATTTTGAGCTAATAAGGAAACATAATTATGGGAGATTGTTGATATGGATATAGGTTATACATTTATCAGGAAACATATGTTGCCTAAGTGGGAGACTGTTGGATTAAAATCATAATTATGGGCACATATTTATAATATATATTGTTATCATAAAATATTACATAAATTAAGTGACCAATTATGTTATAAAGTCATAGGATATTAGAAGTTTCATGGAAATAAAAGTGTAGATACTATTAAAGTTGTAGTTATAATTCGATGAGGGATAGAGTTATAAGTACAAACAATAATTGATTCTTAAATAAACTACATAAAGAGGTTATGGTCCCCAAGAAATAGGTCATCTCATTTTTACTCTTATCCTCGTCAGAGAGTTTATACTTAAGGGAACTCTATCTTCTTAGAAGATCAAAACCAAAGAAAGAATCAATGATTTCAACCTATCAATTAATCCAGGTACACTTCCACATCTAGTAGTTTATTCTTGATGGTTTGACATGATTAGATCCTTATTGTTTTTCATAATTATTATGGTTTGGTTCTAACAAATATATCTTTATGATGATCATATTATGAAGACTACATATCGGACCAAAATAAAGTTGAAACTTTTATGTGAGTTTTATCGGTTTTGAGGGGATTTTGAGAAAAAAAAACATGAGAATACGAAAAGGGGAGAATACGGAACACTATGGTATCAATTATGTCACAAAATTTGAAAAAATTTGAAAGTTTGGAAAATTGAAATTTTTAGGATAAAAACCAAAATAGAAAAAAAAAATAAGTGACTAAATGCATAGTTTACCCTAGGTTTTATATAGGAATGGGTTTGCTTATTGTTTTCATAAGATAATCCATGTTGTTTGAAACTTAAAAATTGTCTTCTTTTGATGTTATCAATTACCTTGTCCTATAGGTGAATGGCATAGAGCTAAAGTCATTATGGAAATAAATGTAGAATAATATAATGTGGGTTCCATAATGAATTTAAAAGAATTGAGATCTTTTCATGATTAGAAAGACAGTTGGGATGTTTAGTGGGAACTTCAGCCATTAATTTATTCATAATGATTGTTTATATATAATTAATGGTACACTTTGCAAGCTGTATCATCCTTTTCTTTATGCTGGTTTTTAGAAGAAAGACTTTAAAGAGAGCTAAAATTGGGAAGCCTTAATCACGTTATGATGTTTCCATGCTACTTGAAGTATGATCACTTTATACCTTTTAATTGATGCATGATTTTCTTTTATTGATAGATAATTTTATTTAAACATATATTCCTCTTTGGTAGTCTCAGTCTTTGTGTATTTTATTGAGTTTATAGTTGATAAGGAAAAAGTTCGTTAATATTAACTGAAATTAAATAATGAAACATTAAAACATTATGTATTTATCAATTATAATACTATTCCAAATTTCCATCAAAGCGATTAATTTGCTAAAGAATTTCGGTTCGTATTATAATGAGTCGGGTTGAATCAAGTCATATTTTTAGTTTATTCGAATTTGACTTGAGTATAACATTTTTTACCAATCACTCACAATTAATCTAACCCAGATTTAAGAAAGTTCCGCCCTATCCAAAACTCGACCCAATTTTTAAAGTAAAATATCACATCTGACTCGACTCAACAACATATATACGTCTCATTTTTATTAGGTAAAATAGGGGCCTACTTGAAAAAACTATAGATAGATGGGTACTATAGTAACTATCCTAAATATAATAATTATACTATTATTTTTACGTTGAATATTTTTTTATTCTAAACCCGAACCTAAACTGAACTAAATTCAAAGCTTTTCTAGAGAAATCAACTGTATAAGATTGACTCAAATTAAAACTCATCAAATCGGATCAAATACTTGTTCCTATTTTATTATTTATTCTGCAACGAAGGATAGACAAGGAAATATAAGATTTTCATTGCAAGAATGAATCATCCATTTTCAATTTTCATGCCTTGATTGTGTTCACATCTTGTTTGACACAGAAGTTTAGGTGGAACTTGAATGAAGGGAACCTACTTATGTATCTATAAGTCGTATGTCATCCATCCATACGAACTTGCTACGCTCAAATTCCAACTTTATCACGCTAATAAACAACTTTGCACCATTCATTCTCATGAAAAAACTCGTCATAAGAATTATAAGATTGATATTTTTGGGAATTTGAATTTCATTTATTATGTAAATAATAAGAATGAAATACATACATTATGGATAATTGATTAATATTTAGTATAATATATAACTAGGGGACATATATTACAATTAAAATTAAAATTAGGACTAAATTGATAGAATATATAAGTAATGATAATTAAAAGTGTAATTATATAAATTTACTTAACTGTCACATTACTATTTCCGGCAAACGTTAACAATTAGTGATTTAATTGATAACAATTTAATAGTTGAGTGGTATAATTAAAAAAAATTAGTTCAGTGGTCAAAATAGAAACAACCTTATAGTTTAGTGGCTATCTGGGTACTTTACCCTTTGTTACTCATATTAATGCAATCTACAAACATACATGCATGCAAAAATTTGAATGGGATTCAACATCCTCATGAGATTCCATCATTTCAATTCTCAACATCATGTCATTTTTCTTTTTACGCCAACGGATTGATTGGTACGTAACGGTTAATCACGACGGACGCATAATTTTATATCAACACTACAAACCTAAAATTTTATATTAAAAATATAAAAGACGTAAATTACAAAATTTTAAGGAATATAAAATAAATCATTAATAAAAAATACAAGAAAAATACATAAACGGATTTAGAATTTTCAATGAATGGGACTGCACTGCTAGAGTCATCCCTACGGTTAACCAAAGACACAAGCTTAAAGCTCTTGATAATACAGACACATGATGACAGAAGATATACATAAATCAATTCAGAACACTAAAGTTTACTAATAAACGTCCTTGAACTCTTTTACTGTCTCATGGCGTATACCCTAAACAATAGTTAATTAAATTAAAATGATAAAAATATAATTCGTTAATTAATTTGAACACACATTCCTAATACCTTCATACAAGACAACCAACCAATCAATTTTTTTCACTGCTTACAAAAATAATTAAACAACTACCTACACAGCCAATTAAGCTTTATCCATGAAGCCCATTGAGTGCCACAAAAGAAATGGGAAAAGAAGCGGTGGAATCAAGAACCAGCTTATATCTTTCAATATTAAAAAAAAAATAGCAATCCATGTTCAAGCCATGCCTAATATATAAACACACAAAATTTTATATTAAGGACGAACTTAAATTCTATAAAAAAGATAATAAATTATTAGTAGAAAACATAAAAAATCTTAGAAGTTAACCACTTCCTAAACCATCACTGCTAATAAGGCCAAGGAAACCCCCTACCACAGGAAACCAAAATCCTCCCTTTCTAATAATGTATTAATAATTGATTGTTTATGTGCGTTTAGTATTAGTAGATACGTAGGTGAGTGTGGTGGTGTTGGGGGACAAGAAAAAGAAAAGAAAAGAAAAGAAAGTAATTAGAGAGGGGAATTGACAGATTGAGCTTCGTCCCTCCCCCCATCCTCACCACAGAGCAAATCTCTTATTCTCCTTGTCTCATCCTATTCCTTTTCCATGAGAGAAAAATTAAATAAATCCCCATTGAAACTGCACTTCACAAAGAAACTCCCACAGCAAGGGGGAAAAAAAGAACAAGTTATTGAAATCAAAGCACTGACAAATATATAAATCCAATCATCTCTCATGAATGAGTTCTCATGAGCTACTACCACTTCGTCTGTCTTTCATCATCCATTTGTTTAATATAATAGAGAGAGAGAGAAGAAGAAGAAGAAGAAAGGAAGTGTTTGGAGCTAGAAGTCGTGAGAATGATGGTACATTGTTGGGTGATGTCGGTTCATGGCTTCTCTTTTACTGTTGCGGTGGCTGCTGCTATCATCATCACCCTCCATTCGAGTTGAGTCTGTAGCACCAAGGTTAAGATAAACCATCCTCGAATCCAAGCTTACACTGCCGCCGCCGCTGTTATGTACTTCACCGCTCATAGGTGGATATATCGCCGTCGAAGTTGGTGAGTTTACTCTCCCTTCTTCACGCGAGATAACCATAGCCGCCGATTGAACCAGCTCCAGACACAGCCTAAGCTTATTTGGTTCGATGTGAGTCAGCCCCGGCACCGCACCATTGAACAAGAAATCCGAAGTTAGAGTTCGAAGGATGTCTAAAGGAGTAACCCCATCAACCGTTCTTACGTTAGGGTCCGCGTGGTGGTCTAAAAGCACCGCAACCATATCCGGCGACACCATTTCCGCCGCGATATGAAGCGGCGTTTTACCCGCAGGCCCGGCTGAATAGTTAACATCGGCTGCACCGAGTTCTAACAATGTCTTCACTACTTCCCGGCTGCAATTCTCTACAGCGTAGTGTAAAGCAAGTGCTTCATCGAGATTCAAACCTTCTCCCATTACCATGAGCTTGACTAGTTCAACATCCGACGAGTCCAATGCCCTTCTCATCCTTCGGATCTTTTGGTCCTCCAGATCGGCAGCGAGCTCGTCGTGGTAGTGGATTAAGGACCGTCTAGCTAAAGATGACTTGAGACGCAGCTCTTCAATTTTGGCCACCACATCAATGGGCAGATGCTTGGCGAGAACATCCGGTGGTAAGCCTGATTTGGCCACTAGGTGGGAAGATGTAGTCCAAAGTTGGTGCATGTCTTGCTTTCTCGAAGCTATTAGTACTTTCATAACATCTTCAATCGAGGCCTTCTCCACCATACCGGCCAATTGTTTCTGTGAAACAAAGAGAAAAAGCGTCAGCTTTTGCAAGTAATAGTCTTTGTTTGATTGGTTTAAAGTTTTAAAAAGATAATGGGTTGTGTTTGGTTTTCTTTTTGAATTTAAACCCAAAATATGAAAATAAGGAAAGTGAATGTTTGGGAAACCCAATTCCAGAAAAAAGAAACTGAAAATATGTTTGCACATGAAATCAAGATAAACCCTTTTTTAATCATTTCGGGGTTTTAAATATGAATATGAATATGAAGAAACACAGTGTAGCAATTAATGGTTGAATCAGGTGCTGTAGCAGAAAATTGCAGGGAAAAATCTAAGATTTTGTGTAGCAGAAAAAGGGAGAGTGCCTGTTAATAAAGAAAAGAAAAAGAAAGAGTGCAGCAATGATTCTATAAACACAGAGTAACAAGACTTCACAGACACAAGGATCAAAGAAGCAGACAGCAGACAAAGGTAAGTGAAACCTGAGTAAGCAATGCGAGCTGTTCAACACCAAAGTATCTAGCGGCGGCAAGAGTGTCGAGAGCTAGATCAACGGCGGAGGTGCAATACGTATGCCAACACGATCTCTCACTACAATCAGGCCTCCGCTCATGCTTTTGAGGCACAATAGAGACTTGGCCACTGTACAGGAACTGTAACAGCAGCAAGAACACTTCATATCCCACCGAGTTCACGGGTATAACACAAGGCCTGGACCCCGCCGGTGCGCCACCCGAGCTCATCCTCGAACCAACCGGGTCTAACCCAGATGGAGGATCGGGTCCACAGAAGAATTTCCTAAAAAACACACTCCTTGCAGCTAAAATGCATCTGTGGGCATGAACTAAACGACCCTCCACACTGAAAGTCACATCGGAGAAAGCTTGGCCATTGATGAGGAGACTGAGGTAGTCAAGGGAGAGAGATCTTAAAGACTCTTCAAAGCTACTCATTTCTAGGGTTGTTTCTCAGAGAAAAAAAGAAATCTTATTTTGGTTCATGTTTGATAAATCAAGAAGAATAAGGAAGAGATGATGGTTTCATTTGAAAGGGAACAACTGTTACTGGTTTTTTGTAGGGAGAGAGAATCTTTGTATGCTGAGGGTGAAGTGGTGTGGTTCTTTTGTTGATAGACAGATTTTTGTTTTTGGTTGATAGATGGAGAAAGACAACTTTAGAAAGAGAGAGCAACTGGGCGGCCGACCTATTTAAATTACACAATTAAATTAATTCAATTTGAAAAATTATTGTTATTCTTTCTATTTTTATAAGTATTTTTGTTAATTAAATACATATATAGGGGGTAGGGAAGGACACTAGATAATAATACGATAAATCATTTTGATCATTCATTTTTTTTAATTTTTTTTATCATACTGAATTATTATTTTTTAGAAAATTATATTTCATAATATATTTTAATTATAGTATCTATTATTAAAAAATTAGCAACTAAAACAAAAGTTAAATTATAAATAGATGACCAAAGTATAAGAGTAAGTGTTCGATCGAGTCGGGTGAAATAAAAAAATTTCGAGTTATTTGAGTTGATGAGTCTTATTGTATAACTCAGAGTTAAATCGAATTTTTTTTCAAGTCAAGTCGAATTTATAAAATTTGATTCAAGTCAAATCAAATTTTTAAGTTTCTATTTAAATTTAATTGTAAATATTTACAATATTATTATATTATTTGATTATAACTTAAATGGTATTTTATAATCATATACAACACATATATTTTTTTTTTGTATTTTTTCATATGTGTTTTACATATACCCTACAAAGTAGACGAACTTGACTCAAACTTGAAAATCAATCTACTAATTACTAAAAATTTCGAGTTACTCTAGTTGTATTTTACAACTCGATTTGAATTCAAAATTTTTTTGAGTCGAGTTTATGAAATTACAACTCGAAGTCAATTCGAATAGAGTTTTTTTAAGTCAATCGAGTCGAAAAATTTAATTTTTCAAGTTGAGTTGAATTTTACTCAATCCTATCTATCAAAATAGTAGTTTACCCAAAAATAATAATAGTAAGGGAATTAATGGGATTGATTGAAATTTTTGCTAATATCTATCCTCGTCATCAAGCTCTTGCTTTACTATTTTAAACTATAATATTTTTGTGCTACTTAAATCAGACGATCCACAATATTATAAGAATGGACTTGGTTTATCATAAAATCTGAAATTTTTATTAATTATATATTTTATTAGAGGTATGTATTTTAAAATTTTATTTTTATTTGTTTCATTTAAAAATTTTATATTATTAATATATATGTATCTACTTTTAAAAATATTTCTAAATCTGTTTATGAACATAATCTTCTGTTAATTTAAGAGCACCAGAGTGATTTAGCATATACAATATGTATTCTAAATAGGTGAATTTTTGGGTAGTTTTAATATACAACAGCCTAATTTAAGGTTAAAAAACTATATGAAATGAGCGCAACCGAAAATGTTATAAAAATATAACATTTTCGGTTGTCATAACATTTTCGGTTGTCAACCAAAAATGTTATAAAGAAAGTTTTCAACCTAAAAGTGTTAAGAAAAAATCAATATTTTAAGTTACATCAAACCTAAAATGTTATGATTTTTATTACATTTTCGATCTCATCTTTTCTTAGTTTTAAATTAAGTTGCATTTCCTTATACTCTCGAACAATCATTGGTCTCTAATCATTTACAATTTTCTCATCAAGTTTTAGTACTTGTTTTTTGCTATTTTTAGGGTAAACTACGCTAGTGCCCACTTAACCATCATCTAATTTCATTTTGACCACTGACATTTAGATTTGACCAAACAGACCATTCAAATATTTAAATATTTCAATCAAACCATTTGTCGTTAACATTTAATGGAATAGGTGACGTCGTGGTTAAAACATTTTGATATGATTTTACAATTGGTCCATGTTAGTTATATTTTTTTCAATATAGATATTTTCTTCAATTTAGTCCTCTTTTTGATAAATTAAAATAATGGCATGTGTCATCATTCGATTGAAAGACTAAATTTATTTTAATTTAATAGATTATTTTCATCCAATCAGAGGGTGACACTGGTTGAAAGAAAATAAATCAACGCATAAAGAGGACAAGTAGGGTTTGAACTAGAGACCTCTTGATAAAAAAGCAAAGACATAAATCAAGGAACCATTTGGTATATTTTAGACAACAAATAGTTCATATCTTATATCTTAGTATTTAAATATTTTACTCAAAATTAATAGTATTGTTTAAATCTTAATTCTTAAATGTTAAAAATATTTTTGTATTAACTTATTAAATATTTTATTTTTTATCATAATTTTTCAAAAACTATATTAACTTAAAATATATTTAAATATTTTATTATTATTTTAATATAAAAATATATATCTTGTTTTTTTATTAATCTGGGTTAAGTACAAGACAATATATATTCAAAGATAACTCTCAACCATTTAACATTGAGCGCTCACACCCCTGACATTCTTGGTGCTCAAACCCGGAACCTCAAGTAATAATAATAATTCCTTTACCACTAAGGTTTCTTCGTTCGTGCATTATCTTCACTTGGTCATTGGTGACATCTGTCATCATTTGATTGGAGTATTAAATTTATTTTTAATTTAATATATATTTATACTAAAATAATAATAAAATATTTAAATATATTTTAAGTTTATATATTTTAAAAAAATATCTTTTTAAAAAGTAATATAAAAATAAAATTTTTTTTAAGTAAAGATAAAGATAAAATATATATTTTTACATAAAAATAAAAATAAATATTTAATAGATTAAAATAAAAATCAATATATTTAATAAATTAAGACAAAAATAAACATTTAATTTTAAAATTTAATATATTTAAAATATTATAAATTACGAGTAAAATATTTACCTACTAAGATATAAGATATATATTATTTGTCTATTATATACTAAGTAGTTTCTTTGGCTTAATGGTTTGGCTCTTTAAAATCTATTTTCTTTCAAATTATTTTTTCACATTATGCATTGATTTATTTTCTTTCAACCGGAGGGTGACACGTGTCCTCTGATCAGAGAAAAATAAATCTATTAAATTAATATAAATTAAAAAAATAGTGTAATGATGACATGTGATACCAATGACACATCTTGATTCGAGAGTTAAATTTATTTTAATTTATTAAAATTAGTATCAAATTAAAAGAATATATAAGTAAAAAAAACCAAATGTGTAATTATACAAAATATTTTAACTATCACGTCATTTACTCCGTTAAATGTTAACTTCAAGTGGTTTATCGATGGTCAAAATGAAATTTGGTAATAGTTAAGTGGTCACCTATGTAGTTTACCCTTTTTTATCACTTCTAAACCATGTCTTATTTTTCCTTCTCTTTTGATCATAATCATATGCAACCGCCAATAAGTTGTACCAAAAGAAAACCCATGCAATTTATAGGAGTTTTACCAATTTAGAGGCACATATGCCTTTTTTTCACCTTAAAATTTCAAGGAAATCATCCCAACTTAGAGGCCAACATTATTACTTCTAACTTGGTTCTAATATCATGCTTTGACCTCGCATCAGTTATATGAAATGCTTGGGTTTATTCTCACATGGATTGCTTACTTGATGTAAAGCGTTTTCAATATCTTATAAAAAATATTAGGGGTTGTTTGGTTTTAGATTTTTTTTTGTTTTTAATTTCAAAAAATACTTTTTATTTTTCAGTTTTTTTAAAACTAAAAAAATTGGTTAATATAAATGAAAATTTGAATTCAAAAATAAAAATAATAAAAATATATTTGACATCTAATTTCTTAAAATAGAGATAAACAAATAGTTATTAAATAATTAAATTAAGGTATAATTATTAAAAATTACATTACATAAATTTAATATGTGAATTATGCAAATATAAAACAAAAAAATTAATAAAAAAAATATAACACAAAATTTATTCTAGTTTATAATAAGAATATAATGTTATTGCATATTATATATAAATTAAAAAAAATACACAAACATATTGTCGTAAGCGGGAGCACACAAAAAGTATCATTAAAATTTAAAATATGTTCAGTTGTAGGCCCTTAAAATTTTGGAGAAAAAAAACTAGTGTAACCCCATAACTTTTTCTTACCTTCAACTGAGAAAAAAAATAAATCTAACCCTCTAACCAACAAAATTGAACATTGATTGGCAAAACGCTTGCATGACAATTCACGAAGTTTACATGATAGTCTAGAATGCTTATGTGATAGTTCATGATGCTATTGTGGTATTACATAATGGACGACGATGTAAGTGTATGTCTTCTCTCTCTGCCATGATCGAACTAAATTTCAAAAATCTTCACACTCTCAAGACTTAAAAATTAGATAACACTTTTAAGATCAATCATGTCGTCTTCCACCAGCTTGATTATATCTTTCATTCTAATGATGTGTGTTCAAAATGAGGGCCAACAATACACTACTAGCATTTGCTCCTATCTTATAAGGCGATACATTACCTTAGATGATGCTTCCATAGCCAAAGACTTAGGTATAAAGCTCAAATGCATAGATAATGAGCAAGATTTTGTAGCCTCCTCATTAGAGTTCGATAAAAGTGTCAGCGTCTTAGATATTCATGAGCATTTCTTGTACCTCATTATCTCATGGTGATTTCGACTATCCGGAGGTAGATTCTCTTCCATTCACACTGTTGACATCTAGTGGCTTCATTGTATTGAGCATAATAAACAAATTAATTTTGCTCAAATTGTCTTCGGTGAGTTAGTTTGACACCATAAACATTTTCTCATTAAAGAAAATTAATACCTTAGTCTATGATTGTCTTCTGAGTCATTTCTTTGTCAAAGTTAATATTATTATTGATCTCGATGTTGTTATTCTCTTGACCTCCTTGATCGATCTAAAATCACTTTATAAATCAAGATGAGAGAAAGTTGGCACTGCTTGTCAAAGAAAGAAGAAGGGGAAGCAAGGTGTTGGTTCTTCTAGAGTTATAACATCTCAAATTATGGGTTAGTGACTAAATTGTAAAATTTCAGAATTTGGTGATTAAAGTGGAAAAGTTGAAAAGTTTAATGATTTATGTGGAGATAATCCCTGAAAGTTTTTAGTAATTATCCAAAGTAGTAAAGGGCAAAATGGTCATTTGACA